CCCTCAAGCTCCCAGGCCTCTGGTAGAGGACCCGAGCTTAGAGAGGGATCACCGCCCGCGGAGGGCCAAAGGTGAGTGGACAATAATATATATATATATATATGTATATATATATGTATATATATATATATATATATATACACTATATATATATATATATAAAAAAAAAAATTGTCCACTCACCTTTGGCCCTCCGCGGGCCAAAATATATATATATATATACACATATATATATACACATATATATATGTGTATATATAATATATGTGTATATATATACTTTTATGCAAATATATTTTATATATATATATTTATATATATAGTGTATATATATATATAGTGTATATATATATATAGTGTATATATATATATAGTGTATATATATATATAGTGTATATATATATATAGTGTATATATATATATATATATATATATATATATATACACACACTGCTCACAAAAACTTAGGGTATCAGACTGTCCAGTTAGGAAGCCACACTTATAGTGAAGCCACACAATATTTCAAGTCTGGTGGCGAAATAATTCTATGTGAATCTATATCACAATGTATGCATCATTTATTACATTATACAACCAATAGGAATCAATCATTCATGTTCCTGCTTGAGCAATGCTTTTAAAATAGCTTGTGAAATGTCAGAAGAGCAGGAGAATGCTGAATCACACAGTTTGAATGAGTGTGGTGGTGATAAATGGATAAAGATTGTGTTTGGAGGCTGAGCGTGCGCAGCTGTTGGCCTGGTTCAGATGGAAAGCATTGGACTTAGAACAGCCCTGGGTCAGTGTAATGTACTGAAGAGCCACTGGAGCACAGCGCCAGTGAAAGTGCCCATATTACAATATATTTGATTACAAACATTGTTTTATTGTAATGTGGTCCTATTATAGTGCATAGTTTATTTTATTATTGTCCCAGACATGTTCCTTGTGAATATTTGCCATGTCCTGTAAGTGGGGCTGTAACAATCGATTAATCTAATTGAAAATCAAAATAGTTAAAATAGTCAAAGAATGATTTAGTCATCCATTAATATTCTTAGGAAAAACTCTAAAACCCAGTGGGATAAATTGAGAAACCTGAGAGAGTTCCACATTGAGAGGGATCCGCTCCACACGGTCAGATAACAGTATAATGACTGCAGAATCTTTTTTTTTTCCAAACAACTCAATGGAAAACTAATCCTCTCTAAGATTCTCAAATGGCATCACTTTGGGCATCACACATTGCTTCCTTTTGGTCAAATGGATGAAAAAAATCCCATAATCTCAGACTTTTCTGTACCTAAACAACTATTGACAGACTGATCCATCCTCGCTGTGTGAAGGATTCCACAGATAATTCCTTTCTGCGCTGTCAGACTGTACAATAAGAACTACTGAGCCTGTACATATCATCGCATCTGTATAAAGTGAAAACAGCAATCATGTGCGATACTATATATGATATATGAAGTATATATGACAGCGACTTAATTATATAATATCTACTGTATTTTGTGTGCTCCTTGTGGGCTGTTTACTGGCCTGAATGTGCACTGAAACACTAGACAACCCCACTGTGGGACAAAGAAAGTTATTAGTAATAGTAATCTTTAGTAGTAATCTTTATTTATATACCGCCTTTTCACTGCACATCGGAGTCTCAAAGCGGTTTACAATTGTTATTTTTTGGGAGTGGGGGTGCCAGTACAGGAGGCACATGCCATGTTGTACATATTTTTAGTGGTAGGGGAAACCGGAGCACCCGGAGGAAACCTACGCAGACACAGGGAGAACATGCAAATTCCACTCAGAAAGGCCCTGGTCCAACCGGGACTCGAACCCAGGACCTTCTTGCTGAGAGGCGAGAGCGCTATCCACTCAGCCACCGTGCTGAGTGGATCTCATCGTATCATATTGATTAATCAAAAGAATAATCAGCCAACTAATCAATTATTAAAATAACCGTTAATTTCAGCACTACTTTGTATGTCAAATCTTGGTCATACAAAGTTTGAGCATTTTTTATTTCAAAGTATATTTTTCTTTCTGGGAATCAAATTCACAAATTTCATTAAAATAGGTACGTCCATTTTTGTTCCGTGAACGTTTTTAGTTTCATTACTTAAACTGTCCACGTCAACCTTCTCATTTCTTTTGAAGCGGAAATTGTCAACACAGGCAAACTTAGCCTTTGGTCAAAATCATTTTTCATTGGCAAAATTGAAGACTAAGCCAGTCCAATCTTACTCTCACTGAAGATTAGATAGTCATGATGGTCCGAAAAACAATTAAAATGTCATAATGTTCTTTCTTTGAGTTTGTTCTTAGATGGTTCTGGTGTACTTGTTCTATCTTCGATAACATACAAATTGCAGTCATTCAAGTGTTTGTATTATGGCTGGAATAACATCTCTGCAAAAGTCAAATTTATAGTTGTCATTTAAAATGTTCTGAAATTACAAAATGTTTCATGTTATTTTAGACAGTGCAGAAGGGGCTGTGGTTTCAGTTACAGGCCGAATAATTGTGTGCGATTTAAAACACAATTTGCAGATGCACAGTAGATTCCTGGTACACCGAAACCAAGAATAAACAAATTATAGAGAGCATCGTTAATGTGAATGTTTTATGTGTATAGCAAATTTACACCAAACCACCTGCCAAAAGTGCTTAAAAGAAAAAAAGCATAAAACACACAGAAATACATGTTGAAATTCAAATTCAGTTGGTGTTAAAATATAAATGTAATTGTCTGTCGGTACAGACACTCTGTCTGCTCTGGAAAGCAGTTTCAGTGACAGACTTATTCACCCTCATGGTGTGAAGGGGAGGTTCCACAGGTCTTTCCTTCCTGCTGCTGCCAGACTGTACAATGAGAACTGAGCCTGTAAATGTCATTCATCTGTAAATAAGTAAATACTGCAATCATGTGCAATGTGCAATACTGCAACTTCAGAGTGTCCACTGAACAATGTCACTTTCCTTTATCTACTTATTATCCTGCCCTATATACTGTATACAGTATATAACTCCAAACTACATTTATTTTTTTTCTTGTTGAAAGACTGGTATTGAAGCATTACAGTGCCTTGCGAAAGTATTCGGCCCCCTTGAACCTTTCAACATTTCGCCACATTTCAGGCTTCAAACATAAAGATATAAAAACTAAATTTTTTGTCAAGAATCAACAACAAGTGGGACACAATCGTGAAGTGGAACGAAATGTATTGGATAATTTAAACTTTTTTAACAAATAAAAAGCTGAAAAGTGGGGCGTGCAATATTATTCGGCCCCCTTGCGCTAATACTTTGTAGCGCCACCTTTTGCTGCAATTACAGCTGCAAGTCGCTTGGGGTATGTCTCTATCAGTTTTGCACATAGAGAGACTGGAATTCTTTCCCATTCTTCCTTGCAAAACAGCTCGAGCTCAGTGAGGTTGGATGGAGAGCGTTTGTGAACAGCAGTCTTCAGCTCTTTCCACAGATTCTCGATTGGATTCAGGTCTGGACTTTGACTTGGCGATTCTAACACCCTGATACGTCTATTTGTGAACCATTCCATTGTAGATTTGGCTTTATGTTTTGGATCATTGTCCTGTTGGAAGATAAATCTCTGTCCCAGTCTCAGGTCTTTTGCAGACTCCAACAGGTTTTCTTCCAGAATGGTCCTGTATTTGGCTCCATCCATCTTCCCATCAATTTTAGCCATCTTCCCTGTCCCTGCTGAAGAAAAGCAGGCCCAAACCATGATGCTGCCACCACCATGTTTGACAGTGGGGATGGTGTGTTCAGGGTGATGAGCTGTGTTGCTTTTACACCAAACATATCGTTTTGCATTGTGGCCAAAAAGTTCGATTTTGGTTTCATCTGACCAGAGCACCTTCTTCCACATGTTTGGTGTGTCTCCCAGGTGGCTTGTGGCAAACTTTAAACAAGACTTTTATGGATATCTTTGAGAAATGGCTTTCTTCTTGCCACTCCTCCATAAAGGCCAGATTTGTGCAGTGCACGACTGATTGTTGTCCTATGGACAGACTCTCCCACCTCAGCTGTAGTTATCTGCAGTTCATCCAGAGTGATCATGGGCCTCTTGGCTGCATCTCTGATCAGTCATCTCCTTGTTTGAGATGAAAGTTTGGAGGGACGGCCGGATCTTGGTAGATTTGCAGTGGTCTGATACTCCTTCCATTTCAATATAATTTCTTGCACAGTTCTCTTTGAGATGTTTAAAGCTTGGGAGATCTTTTTGTATCCAAATCCGGCTTTAAACGTCTCCACAACAGTATCTCGGACCTGCCTGGTGTGTTCCTTTGTCTTCATGGTTCTCTCTGCGCTTTAAACAGAACCCTGAGACTATCAAAGAGCAGGTGCATTTATACGGAGACTTGATTACACACAGGTGCATTCTATTTATCATCATCAGTCATTTAGGACAACATTGGATCATTCAAAGATCCTCACTGAACTTCTGGAGTGAGTTTGCTGCACTGAAAGTAAAGGGGCCGAATAATATTGCACTCCCCACTTTTCAGTTTTTTATTTGTTTAAAAAGTTTAAATTATTGAATAAATTTTGTTCCACTTCACGATTGTGTCCCACTTGTTGTTGATTCATGACAAAAAATTAAAAATGTATATCTTTATGTTTGAAGCCTGAAATGTGGCGAAATGTTGAAAGGTTCAAGGGGGCCGAATACTTTCGCAAGGCACTGTAACAGCTAGCTAAGAAACATAGCTACTACTTATTTTATATATTTTTTGTGTGCTCACTGTGGGACGAATAAGGAATCTATTAACTAATCTTGTCTGAAAGTGCCTTTCAATTGTTTTTAATCTACTGCCAACATAATACTTCATAACGTGACACTATAACCATAGCAAACCTGTAAGTGTCTTATGGCTGTGCCTGTTGGGTGGTGAGCTCAAAAGGCCCCATCGCTAAAGCAGGAGGGGTCTCTCATGGACAAGGGACTTCGAAACAGAAGACGTGTTACTCACAGGGGATGGTGCGGAGGTACAGGTTGTCCCGGATCACCTGCTGCAGCTTGTGGTCCAACGATCCTTTCTGGAACTGAAGGCTGAGGTAGTGACGCAGATCTGTATTCAGCACTTTACCTGCAAGAGATGACCACAAAAGGGAAAATAGGTGTTATCAAAAAAGTTGAGTGATAAAAAAACAGAGCATTTGAATATCAAGGATGCTGCAAGATTTCAATTATAATAGACAGGTATGTTTAGGATAGATTTCAATTATATATACAAAAAAATGACTGAATATTATGAATCATGAAAAACCAGTCTAGGAGGGATCAGGGGCATTTCAGAACATTTATCAACATTCTTCTCCCAATGGACTAATGACTCCTATTTGTTATTGGATGGAATGAATATTATCAAAATCATGATCAACATAAACAGAGGAATACAAAATCCATTTTATATGCATTACTATAGAGCAGGCATGTCAAAGTCAAATACATCAGACGGCCAAAAAAACAAATTTGCTGCGAGCCGAGGGCCGGACTGGTTCAATGTTTATTAACTCATTGCCTGCCAGCCTATTTCAGAACAGGTACTCCCATATTGCCAGCAGTTTCTGATGATTTTTATAGATTTTTCAAGACCCACAGAATATTGTGTACTATGACTATCTGAAATCCGAAACCAGATTCTGAAAGAATAGACTGTCTACTTTCATCAGCAAAAAGAATTTTGTTTCTAGCTTGTAATCCCCAGTTGAGTAGAGGGAAGTTTTACTGAAATCACCAAAAAGCTGAGAAAAAAGAAGCACAACAAGTGCATCTAGCTGTTTTCAAACCATTCAGAGAGCGCTGCTGCCACCTGCTGGCTCGATTCAATATGCTCTCAAGCTTATCCCCAAACATATTAGATATAATAGACATCTGGGAACATGAAAATAGCGGAAAACGCAATTGACGTAATAGTGCGTCAATGGCAGGCAACGGGCCATGTAAAATTCATTCGCGGGCCGGATTTGGCCCGCGGGCCTTGACTTTGACACATGTGCTATAGAGTTTTATCAAAGAGGACAAAAGCATGGCTGGAGCAAGGAAGATCAGAACCAGGTCCAAAGACAAGTTACTGGATTTAGGTAAGTTTACCATAGACTCTCTACAGTACATCATAGATTCAATTCAAAGGCAAAAATAAATTTAAGATTGAAAATAGGCTCAAATGAGGATATTTCTGCTATTAAAAAATGTCAAAATAATACATAGTACATACATAATAAGTGAGAATATCTTTTCTTTTTCAACCCATAAGTCGATGAAGATAGCCATTGCAGTATGATTAGATTGAAATCAAGATACACAAGTGCTTGGAATAAATTGTGTTGAATACTTTATGCAGCGATAAATCAACTTCACAAACTCAAAAGTCAATAACAAAGTGTAAATGTGGCAGAAGCCTCAGGTAATCGTGGTCAAAGTAACAGCTTGAACTAATTCCACATGAGCAGCACTTGTTAATGTGCTGTATGCAGGAGGTGTGAAGGGAGGAGAAGTACAGAGAGATACAAAGGGAAGTGTCAGTTATGGAAGGGAAGGAGAGGAAACGAAAAGTTCTCCCAAAGCTTCTTCACAAACCTCCCGCTGGGCGCCAAGTGCAAAAGAAAGTTGTGAGGACAGGACAGAAACTTCATCTGAGACAATGGGGTAAAGAATTGTTGAACTTTAGATGAACGGTCTGCATCAAGAGCTGGGTCCAAAACAAATGAAATAAAGTGTTTGTTTTTTTATACTGTTTGCATAAAAAACTAATATTAATCCACTCATGAATAAATTGCAGACGCTTTCAAACATTTTCAGTCACAATCTCTTTCTGTTGCAATCTATATTTGGTTATAATTTCTGTTTAAAACCCTCGATAAATAAGAATTATTGTTTGACGCGCCGACTACTAATCGTTAACTATCAGCATCTGAGGGAAATTAATTTTATTGGACTTGCTTTGTCAACAATTACATAGACAAGACAGATTTTGGAATAATAATAAAATGGAAATATAACATTTGCTCCTCTCAATTGTCTGGGATATAACCAGACAACTGAGAGGAGTAAATTGGTCAGAAAGCCCACATTTGCATTCATACCATCCATCCATCCATCCATTTTCTTCCGCTTCATCCATTACCGGGTTGCGGGGGCAGCAGTCTACGCAGAGACACCCAGACCTCCCTATCCACACACACTTAAATCCGGAGGGATCCCGAGGCGTTCCCAGTCCAGCTGAGAGACTGAGTCTCTAACGTGTGGGACAGATGCCTGAGCCACCTCAACTGGCTACTCTCGACGTGGAGAAGCAGTGGCTCTACTCCGAGCTCCTCCCGTGTGACTGAACTCATCAACCTATCTCTAAGGGAGCGCCCATTTGTACCGTTTAAAGATGCTATACCAAATTCAGATATTTTTTTTCAATGAGTTCATAAAAAATGGTTATTACTACATACAAGTTGTAATAAATTCCGTAATTCAATTGAAAACTTGAGCTCATTGATTCAGCTTGTGTTTGATTTCAGTTACCTAATGTAACTGTAGTTCTACGAAAAGGTGCGTATCGCAGCGACATCTCGATTCTTCAGGTTAGTAGTGTTGATCTCTCGGCGCCAGATTTTAAAGTGGCAGGTGCGGGCCTGAGCAGGGCTATTTATAGGAGGAGCTCGCTCGTGATTGGAGTATTGGATCTTCGATCTCTCTGGCGGAGGTTAGGTGCCTCAAAGAGTCTACCCATAGCATAGCCCTAAGGGGCGTAAAACAAAACTAGCGGTAATCTTTCAGTTATATATTTTGTTAGCAGTGAGTTGCTTTTGCACCATTTCATCAGTGATTGCTGTACAGCTTACAAGAAGTTGTGCTAACGCTAATGTTTTCATACGTATCAGATCACAAATAAAACTAGATGGCTTCGTGGGAAGAGAGCGTAGCAGAAATGAGAAGCCTGTGAGCGAGTTGGGGGAGGGGTGCTAAACATTCAAACTGAGAAAAACCTGGAAGAAACGGGTATAGCGCATTTAAAATAAATGTTATTCTGCAGGAAATATTTTAAAAAGGAAAGAAAGTTGTGTAAAGCGACCTCAGCATGACCCTGCATGCCAGATAAATAGATTATTCATATATTGTTGTGGAGGCATGAGAGTAAAAAAGGTGAAGGTAAAGCTGAATAATGGCACAGAGTTGCTAAAATTATGGCAGAAATAATTAGATTTCAGGAATGTTGAAGCTTTAATCCTTTATTATTGACTTTTTGTACTTTATGAAGCAATAGCAGAGTAGAAAACTCAATAAGCTATTAGATTTGGTTTGTTTCTTACTGTTGAGTGCAAAGCCATATTTTTATGAAACAATTAAGAGTTTGTGTTAATGTTATACAATATAATAATAATTTAACATATCACTTACATAGCGCAATCACTCAATTACTCTTTTAGCGTGATAAGTTCTCTTTAATAAAAGCAGTGGGCGAGTCCTCACTTTCCCAAAAAGGCAGCTAAACCGAATAAAATGAAGAATAAAATAGAATAGTAAAAAATATTTAATTTAATGAAAGTATAGATGGTTATTTTAAAACGTAGACCACGGGCTGTTTGTAATGTATGATAATATTTGTCATGTCAACACAAACCTGCTTCAATTTAGCAAAAAATAGATTTTAGATTTTATAACTTACAGTATTTTATGACTAAACAGAGCTGCGATATTGTAGCGTTTGGCTGTGATTAAATAAGGTTTTGAATTATCTTACATTTATCAATACCATGAGTTTTGGTGTATTTGCTTTCAATAAATAGCACTTCTGGTACAATTATTAAAAATAAAGGATATGGAAATAATTGTCTCTCATAACACGATTGCTGTTTTTAATCATCACAAATGAAGTCCAAAAGGATTTTATTATAACATTAGTATAATCTTTCCTCCCGTCACCTCAGGGTCTTAATTTTTAGAGTCATTTGCATTTGAAAATGGTCAAATGGGCATATTGCAGACGTATCTATAGGTAATTTATGGTTTTGGTTCTGCTGATACTGAATATCGAGCACAAATGTCTTTTATTCATATAACTCGTCCATTATGATACGATTTCCTCTGGTACTGTATATTACACAACACCAACTATGATCATTCATTCATTATCATTCATATAAGGGGAAAAAAGGGTAAATAAGACGACATTACTGCATTCTAGTGTTCTCCTTTATGGATTAAAAAGTCAATATTGGAAAATCCATTGGAAGCCAACTCCCTGAGCACAGGTGGGCAGAGGTGATATTACCCTTATTATCTCTGGTTAATGCAATGCACAATCTACTTTAGTCTGATATATAAGGGCCTCTATGAATGCCACAGCTCATGCCTGGCTCCTCTCCAGCTGCGTCCACACCTGCTTTACGCACTTCAAATTCTCTTCCACATCTGCTCCCAAACAAAATCAATACATCCACTCCGAATTTCTCCACTGGCACTGGATAAAATACAAGCCATTTCTTTTGAGCCTTCATAGGGCACAGTGAGCTGCCATCATTCACCTAGATAAAGCAACGCAGGATTGTAAACATCTCTCCGCGTTTAATCTACTAATGAATATTCAATGATGCATTACCAAAACAGCCAAGGATATTTTCGAAAATCTATTCCGAAGGTGGCAGGGGTTGTAGAATTTGGCAGGCGACGATGAGATAGGGTGAGAAAACTAGATATAAGAAACAGAGATTGGTGTGCTCGCGACGTAATGACATTTTGAAATGCAGCCCACACTCCACTGCCGAGGTAAATTTTTTATCATTTTTGCTGAAGGAGACGTGTGTTCTATCCGATTGAAAGTGTTGGAAATTAAGTTTTTTGTGACCTATAGGGATACGGCTTCCACTGGGATTGTGCAAGCTGCTTTTCTTATTTTAGAACTTGATAATAAATGAATACCAAATCAGATCTTATGGTCTGTGCGCAACTTGATTTCTGAAATTATTTCTGTTGTATCCCAGTAAATAGAAGTAAAAAGACTTTTGCATGATATTCTAAATTTCTGAGTTCAACCTGTATGTTTTACCGATACTGTCCAATACTGATAACTACTGTCGGTTGAAACTCCAATTATAATACAGTAGGAGACATATTTGTCCTAATGAATTTTGAAAGTAGGCCTGTTTTGATGGAAAAATTTTCTACAGCTATACAATATTTTAGTTTTTGTACAAATCTGACCACAACAAGCTGATGGGCTGAGTGATACACATGAGAAAATTTGTGACGGAACCAGGGTCTAGTTAGTAAATGGATTTTAGTTGTCATTTTGTGTCATTTGAAAGTTTAGTACCTCAGTTTTAATGTCACATAATTAATTAGTATAAAGACCCATGTGATGAACAGATTAAACAATAATTTATAACAAGTTACTTATTCAACCCGCTACAACAAGAATACATATCTCATAACAGAACATTGCTAAAAATAGTCTCACAATAGCAAAGGAACCGCACAAACGACTAATGTTCAGTGCAATATTTCTCACAAATGTGGACGCACTGACATTGGAGCCTTTCACAAGTCTGATATCTTTGCAGTCTTTGTATTTTATTTGTTTCTTCTAATGTCTATGCGTCTTTGTTTCCGAAATAAAGTTTGATAATTAACAATAACAACAATGTTAATATCATTGAACAGTAAGTCAATGTATGATGAGAGATGTGTCCAATGGTTCCAGCAGTCCAGATACGGCCACTGTTATGTAAGTTGTCGTTTCTTGCTGCACAATGAATGTGTGGAATGTGTGTCAGAGAAACAAAAGCAAAGAGCCTGATGTGTCCCAAAACCACAATCCTGCGGTTCATGTTCCCAGAAAACGTTCACAGAGCGGAAATTCTTCCAAAAACCTAAATGTGACACGCAACCACAAGGGGAATATTAAGAGATCTGCGCTAGCCTGGAACTGTAAATGGAGAGAAATTCTGTCATTTCAAAACAAGCAATAGTAGCCACAGACATTGTAGTTTTCATATTTTTCAGATAATAGATTTTAAAGAAAAGAGCTAATAACCTTAGTTCAAGTCAACACCGAGGTTATACAACATGGATTTGAAAGGCTGTTAAATGTAGACAGCAATTACTGTGAATGGTTATTCAACAACACCAAAAACATAAAGTAATAATTTGTTGTTGTTTAATGGACTTGTTTTTCCAAGAGCAATTACCAAAACAGCACGTTTTAATGACCATCTTACTTATTGCTTTGTTGTGGTCAAGTCCATTTGTGGAAGTACATTAGCAAACATCAACGCCATGCAATATTTGTGGCCACGGTCCATTGGGGATAATACAATGATTAGTGCCTGTTGTATTTTTCGTCATTTGTAAATATACTTCTGTCTCGTCACTGATCAAAATGAACACAGTGTGTATGTTTGTTGCTTCCTTTCAGAATCAATGCAAGAATTATGGATTAATTTGACAAACCATGTAGTCTCGGCAATGTGTACAGGTCTGCACAATATGGATGCCAACAACAGTTGTCAAAAGATATTCAACTTGTATCAAAGCTAAATACTTAACTTAGCTTAAGTTGACAATGGTTTATTGTATTGTCTCGTCTTTTTGTAATTTCTATGTGAAAAGTTTACTTTGACACAGTGTCTGTATGAGTGGGCAGCATGGCGCCTTAACTGTTGATCAGGGGTGTGTTCTTCAGTGCTTCAGGATCAATTGTTTTTTCAGGTTTTCTGATAAGGCTCCCAGAGCAGAGAAAACCTTCCAAAAAACATGCTGAGCCACTAAGGCCATAAATACACAAACAGCATTTTTCCACATAAAAAGTTACATTAATCGTTTCTAATTATTGAATCTTGAATCTAATCTGCTATGCTTTAAAGTCCTTTTGAATTTGGTCTGTACTATACATTGACCTTTTCTGGGCCATGGTAGAAATGTGTATTTGTACCATTTGTACCATATTTCATCTTATAGTCAACAAAAATAAAAAAATTATCAAATCATTACCTTGGGGATTGAGTGTTGAGCCAATGGGTGAGAATAAAAGTGCAGTTTGATTTTCTAGTATTGTGACAGGTATAATAGAAGAAGTCATGGCACCTACAGCATCTATCTCTCCAGAGCACTAATTGTTACTGACACCCAGTATCTAACTATGTACACAGTGTCCCGAGGTCACTACAATCAATACTACTCATCCACTCCCATCCAGACACATGCAAATGACGACCCGGCCTCTGTAGAGCCTGTCAGCTCTGGTTATCATGTCTGCACAGAGGAGGAGGAGAGAGGGGGAAGAACAAGCTTGCGCATCACTGCTTTGCCAGAGCCACAATGAAGGTCTTTGTGCCTTGTCATTGGGCCATTAGACCTGCTTGTGGTGGGAACCAGACACAAAGTGGGAGGGGCTTACACTAGCATGACACAAGGGACAACAACTTTTATTCACCCACTGTTGCCTTAAAGCTGGGGTATCTGATTATCAAGGAGGAGGTGGATATTTATGTTTAGAACTTCCATAAATAATATTGTCACATCCTTAGAATGCATGGCTACAACAACCACAAATCAATGCAAATGTTCTTACAAAAGAACTATAATTTGTATTAAATATCTACTGATTAGTTAGTATGTTCATTTATATTGTGCGTCTCACAAAATGCTTTACAATTGTCATGGGAATTTGTCCTCTAACTCCACACAGTGACGGGAAGGACACACGTAAACCAACCTAATGTCATTAGGGCTGCACCCGATGATTACTTACAGATTACTTATAGAATTTATAGATTAAGCCATCCATTATTGTTTTCAAAATTTGATTAATCCGTAAATTATTTTATGATTGGATGAACACATTATTATTGCCGTTTTTATGAGATAAACTTTATGAATGAGTATATTTTCCTCCTAGATTTAAGGAGAAAACGGAGCAATTTCCTGTTCTCCTTAAATATCTAAGTTTTAGACTTAGTTTTAGACCACTATAATGTTATTCCATATAATATAATGTTTGGATTTGAGGGCAGAGTAGACATTACAGGACCATTCCCGCGCTGTGCATTTTGAGATTATCTAGTGTGTTATAAATACAAGTGACAAATGACTAGTGACAAATATGTAAACTGTAAACCAACTTGACATTTACAGAAACACTAACTTTGGCATATTGACAGATCAGTATTCAGATCAATGCATCAAAAGTTTTCTTAATAAATACAGATTTGGGAAAATCCAGGCTTACCTCATACTATGTACTGATGTAATAAGACCATCTAAAGCAAAGTAAGGTTAAGGCTTATTGTATTGTCCCGAGAGGGAAGTATTTCCTCTGCAATTCAAATGCGACAATGTTTGAGCTTCCATATATAACATAGACATAAGCTCAGAAAATCATCTTCTCAAAAGCTTCTGTCTTGACCAAGGACATACAATTCTTATCCTCGTGGATAAATAGTAAATTTGAGATTGAGATTGAAGGATATGAAGACTACAGCTGCTGCTGTTCATGAAAACACACTGTCCCATACACATGGTTTTTTGGTAAAACGGGGCAGAGTGGTAAATAAAGGACCAAAAGCCTTTTGTTTCTTTATTGAATCGCATTGTATTGTTTAGAAATATAGTTTTGAATCACATCGAATTGAAAGTCCCCTTTATCTAAATAAGTATCGGTTCGTCAAGATCTGAAAAATATCTATAGTTGTAAAGAAGAGGCTTAAATCCGAGCGAAAGCCTGTGGATTACTGATTACAGCCAGTTTAAGCAGCTAGGTTTTATCTTTCAAGATATCTGAAGTGTGGACTGTCCCAATTCTTGTATTTATCACCCCAGACGCCCTTGTTCACTCACCCACTCCAGGCACTTTCAGATAAAAGACACATTTCATTGAAGTGTGTGGTGTGTCGATATTGGGAGACTGCCATTAATCCCAAAAAGTAATTCTATTGTTCTATAATGGTCAACAGACTTTTGCCACAGTATGTAGCACAACAGGATTTGCATTAAAAACTCCAAGACTTCGTTAAAACGACTGGATTACATTAGTGTTTTTGCCAGTACAGTATATACTAAAAAGGAGCCAGTGTGAGCCATGCGTGTTAGCAGGAGGCTAATGAGGCCATTCGCTCTCAGTGCGCTACAGTTTCACAGCTAACGCCGCCACAACCATCTGCTAATTACACCTGGTTGGTTCATTTGGAAAGTCAGGCGCAGAGAGTCCTGGCCTGTGTCTGACAAGCTGGATTGTAGAACTAATATTTGTACAACATTCCAGGTGCCAAAGGATGAAGTAGTTGTACAGATCAAGAGTCGGGCTGTACGACTAAAAAGGTTATGGAGAATAAAATGGGCAGAAACCACAACGGCAAAATATAACTCAAAACAAAGATAAAGCTGGGGTACCCAACTTCATTTTCTGATCATTAATACATGCAGTTTGTCCCAACAGAAAGTAAAATGTGAAAAACAAAATGTTCGGCCCAAAGACAAAATTGGATTTAAACCTAAAGTAATCCCCATTTGAGACTTCGGGCTGAGAGCTGATTGTGGTAATACAGAAAGAAGGGAATTTTAAAAACAGGTTGAAATACAATTAAAATACAAAGTTAAAAGCATAAGCACAGCAGTGGCAGGCTCTCTCTTCTTAACTTATCTGTATTAAAAAGCTGATCTAAAGATGTGATTTTGTCGAAAGTTCCATACTCCAGCTTTAACTAAATTAAATAGAAAATAAATCCAAATGAGAAAAAATCCAAATATTCAATTCATCTGTAAATCATATTATGATTGGATGGATACATTGTTGTTTTAAAACGTACCATTTTTATGAGATAAACTTAATGAAAATGTATCTCCCCTGGAACAAAATGTTATTTTGTGAGATGATATTTGATGCTGCAGGTTTAACTAAATTAAATAGAAAATAAATCCAAATGAGAGTATGGAACTGTGGCTCATCATGCATGTGCTGGACAGTTTTACACAGATATGATCAAACATGAAACACTGATCAATCATACCAGTATTTTTTAGGATCGTAGTTATTTGATGCCATAATTGTTGCCATGCTGCCCACTAAAAACAAATGACAGCAGCAAACAGGGAAGCCAACATGCTTTTGAGGAGCAAGAAAGATTTAGTCCAATTTGGTTCTCCCCACCTTCCGCCACCTGCACTCAAGTGGCGAGTTTATCAAAACAAAATAGATCTAAGCCCAGGTTGCCCTGTGCCAGTTTTATTTCCAACCTGTAACTAATGGATTTTTAGCCGGAGCAGCCAACGATAGCGGCACGTACGGATTTGGAGGCCTAAGATTATATTTCACAATGCTGAGTGCTTTGGGACACCATATGTGTCTAGAGCCAAGTGTGCCTACGATTATCACATCCACTGTAATGAGCCTGCAACATTAAGCTCACAATGTGCAACGCCGAGCAAGACTATTCCTTTCAATTATCTGCTCCAGGGGTTTGACTTTTGGAACCAGTGGTGTCAGCTAATGCTATTGTGGGTGTACTGGCAGGGCTGGTTTCAGATGGTGCTTTCTTGAAACACAATTTGGAGAAAAGTATTGCAATATTATCAATGGTCAATCGATCTGTCAAGTTTATTTGTAAAGTGAAATTCATGCAACCCAATATTCTTCACAAAATCATACACATATACAAATTATATAAATATCATCTCTTTACATGTTTCAGCAAAAAAAAGGGGAAATGGGAAAATATATTGATTTTGCATTTTGAGTTTAGGGTGTACTTAAAAATAAATAAATAATGCAGTTAATAAGTAAATAAGCAGGTAGTATTCAACTTGGAAGACAAAAAATATCTTAATGAAACTAGATTTTTTTTAATGCATTTGAACAAAACAAAAAACACTAGATCTGAATGATTGGTGGCGGTTGAAGGGGCCAAAGGCAAAGATTGATACTTTTCTTGAGTCAGTCCGGCACAGGGCAGCTGCAGCTACAGTAGTACCATCAACATTGAGAGTGCAAAAAGCTCATTTGAAAACTGATGATGCAATCAAAAGTAATCAATAATCACGCTTCCAATTTGTAATTTGTGAACTTTATACAATCTTTTCCCAGTCTGAGATTATTTCTGCAAATTCATATAATAACATGCTAATGACGGCAGGAAAGTTAGAATGGTGAAAGACCTTGGCCTTGAAAGTCTCCTATATAATCCCACAGTTGATCTGACGCATGCTGTAAAAGGCTAAAGAAAGACTAAATTTAAGCTGAAGATGAAGTGAGCTCCTGCGTCCTGTGGGTGCTCTTTGGGGGTGTCCTTTGGGTGCTCAGCGTGGAGTCGAGGCAGAGGGGTGAAAGAACTGTCAGGGCTCCGAGACGACCTCTGTGGTCACATCTCTGTCCCGGAACCAAGAGCACATGGGACTGACGCCTGCTTTTCCCAAATGCAACATTTATAGTCTGACGCTGTATTGCAGGGGTCCCCAATTAAATTGGCACGAGGTCCACCTACTTGATTAGTTCAATAGATCAGGGTCCGGACATCAGACAAATATTTTATTTCATATAAATCCCTTCAAGCTTCAACCTTAAACAACGACTATAGTAGTATGAACTATTTGGAAAAAAATAAATGAATACAATCTAAATATAGATGTGTATAATTCACACATAACAGCAACGTACTTTGTTTATTTCTACACAACACAAACCTCTCCCAAACTCTCAGAGTAGAGGCTGCAACACATGATGATTGTGGAGGATCAGGGGATCCACACTCTGACCTCCTCCTCCTCCTCACACTCTGACCTCCTCCTCCTCCTCACACTCTGACCTCCTCCTCCTCACACTCTGACCTCCTCCTCCTCTACACACACTCTGACCTCCTCCTCCTCTACACACACTCTGACCTCCTCCTCCTCTACACACACTCTGACCTCCTCCTCCTCCTCACACTCTGACCTCCTCCTCTTCCTCTACACACACTCTGACTTCCTCCTCTTCCTCTACACACACTCTGACCTCCTCCTCCTCTACACACACTCTGACCTCCTCCTCCTCCTCACACTCTGACCTCCTCCTCTACACACACTCTGACCTCCTCCTCTACACACACTCTGACCTCCTCCTCCTCTACACACACTCTGACCTCCTCCTCTACACACACTCTGACCTCCTCCTCTACACACACTCTGACCTCCTCCTCCTCTACACACACTCTGACCTCCTCCTCTACACACACTCTGACCTCCTTCTCCTCTACACACACTCTGACCTCCTCCTCCTCCACACACACTCTGACCTCCTCCTCCTCCACACACACTCTGACCTCCTCCTCCTCTACACACACTCTGACCTCCTCCTCCTCTACACACACTCTGACCTCCTCCTCCTCCTCTACACACACTCTGACCTCCTCCTCCTCACACTCTGACCTCCTCCTCCTCTACACACACTCTGACCTCCTCCTCCTCCTCTACACACACTCTGACCTCCTCCTCCTCACACTCTGACCTCCTCCTCCTCCACACACACTCTGACCTCCTCCTCCTCTACACACTCTGACCACAACAAGGCTTTTAATGCCAGAAATCCACTGCACTCAGTGAGCACTAAAGTAAGGCATATGCTGTTTGTTAATGCTTTTAATATGTTTTTGATGTGTACCTCTGTGTCGCTCCTCCTCGCTGCTCCTCCTCACACACCTCTGTCTCGCTCCTCCTCCTTTGCTCATACACAGTCAGTGTGAGCAGCTGAACGCGAGCGTCCATCGCTCCGTACACAGCGCCCACGGCTCATTCCCGTCTCTGACTCTCACTCGGAGACACTGCTAAAGTTATTTTCACAGCTCCGTAAAGTTTTCTCGAAGGACCCCACATAGCCGCCCTCGCGCCTGCCTGTTTACAAATCGCTTTTGGTGAAAATTTGACACATAATTGTAATAATATACTTTTGTACCAAAAAAACACGGAGGTCCAGAGAAAAGGGTCTCGGGGTCCGGACCTGGACCGCGGTCCGCCATTTGGTGATCCCTGCTGTATTGTATTGATCCAAAAGCAAGTGTGGAAATAAAACCAAAAGTTCAAAACTAGGTTCATGAATCTATAAAGTTTCAAATTGAGCAGAATTGGGTCAACTGTTTGACCGAGTTTTATATACTGAAAAACAGTTCTGTTTTGTTTGTTTGTTTTATAATGTGTATGATTTTATGTCCTTGAAAAGCACTTGCAGCTGCACAGCATGAGTTTTGCTTTATAAATAAACTTGATTGATTGACATAAAATGTGATTGTCAGTTCCACAAATGTTGGGCTTTTATGACACATCAATACAACACGTTAATACGTTTTTAGAGATTTTGAAAGTATTCTTTCAGCTAATAAATTAAAACATCAAAATTATATTTAATCTCAAATTGAACTGAATAAAGAGGAAGTGAAGCAGTGGAGGATGGCTTTTACACAATTCCTGTCAAGATTGAGTCTTAAAATCACATACATGCACTGTAAACTAAAGAAAGACTCAAAGAGATTGAATTTTTGATACTCCAACCTTCACACTGTCTGTATATAGAGTAGATAATCCATGACAAAAATAATTGACAATGATTCATTGTGGATTATAAACAGGAATCTTAAATGAACGTGTCATTCTTTAAAGTGATCTTTATTTGTAGTTAATATGGTTGAAAATTGGCCTCCTCCACACAGTACACCTTTAAAGTGATGTTGCTGTACTCATTCACTTTGTAATTGGCCATTGTAATTACAGGCCAGTTGTTTATCTAATTGGAATAAACAATGTGCACGCAGAATGTGCAGTGAGGTGAACTGACTACACTGTTCAAAGAAAGCAGATTAAATTGAAGACTACAGCGGTGCACAATTATGTTGGATTGGTTCCCGTCTTAGAGCACAGCGTGTCATTTTGACCTGCTGCTGGTGCGGTCCAGGGCACGCTGCTCCTCTATCCGCTGTAGCCCTCAGCCCTGCACGGAAATAACTTACTCCACGCAGCAGGAAGATGACAGGAGCTATGCATTTTATTTTGTATTCCAACAAAGCGTACGTCACCTATAACTCATATTTAGAGAATGCAACTTTCAGCGAGCTATAAATAAGCTAAGCCACAATGAATGTGTCATATTCAGTCATGGTCTGGGAGGCAATGCATCAGAGGCTGTTCTTCATATTTCAATTATTTTAGTAAGCTGCGACCATTGTGTGAGAAAACAATGCCAACAATATACAATAAATGAATAACTATAGGGGATTTAAGTCCAATTAACAGAAAAAAGTATCAGTGGACATTGGGCCTCATTCACGAACGGTTCTTAGGAACAGATTTGTACGTAAATCCTACTTACGCGGTTTTTACGAAGAAAGTGGCATTCACGAATATTTCTCGTAACCAGAATTTCTCTTGGGCAAGTACAAATCCTACGAGTCCTCAGGAGCACTCGTACGCATTCAGTGCCGACATGTTCGCACGCGGGGGTTGTCCTCTTTGGTGAAGTTGAATAAAAATACAACATTCCAGTGATATGTCCGTCATATCGATGTATGTATTTATTTATTTGTAGTAATCTTTATTAGTAATCTTTATTTATATACCGCCTTTTTCACTGCAGATCTGGCCTACTTTTTAATTCATTTTGAAATGAAATGTGCCAACGCTTTATCAAATACATTGGAAATCTTGCCGTGTATTAGTGACCCCTTCCTATTTATAGGGGGCATTTCTTTATCCACGGGCCACAGAACAACGGCATATATACTGCTGCTGCAGGAGGTTACTGGGTCCGCGCTGAGTCTCTGCGCTGGTCTCTCCTATGGATCTATACGGGTCTGCACTGGTCTCTCCCATATACGGGTCTGCACTGGTCTCTCCCATGGATCTATACTGGTCTGCACTGGTCTCTCCCATGGATCTATACGGGTCTGCACTGGTCTCTCCCATATACGGGTCTGCACTGGTCTCTCTCCATACGGGTCCGTGCTGCATGCTCCTGGATCCATACGGGTCCGCGCTGGTCTCTCAAGTCTGGTCTATGCGGTCTATCTTCGGTCCGCGCTGGTCTCTGCGCACCGGTCTCTCCAGTCAGGTCACTCCAGTCTATGCGGTCTCTCCTATAGGTCCGCGCTGGTTTCTGTGTGCTGGTCACTCCAGTCTCTCCTCGGGTCTGCATTGGTCTCAGCGCTGGTCCGCGCTGGATCTCCTCCCAGGGTCCAAAATATTTTGAGATTAATCTCAAAACATTTTGAGATTCATCTTTAAAATAATACATAATATATTTTTAAATTAAGCTCATAACATTTTGAGATTAATCTCATCATATTCTTAGATTAATCTCATAATTTTGCTAGTTCGACTTTATTATGTAAGTAAGTAAGTAAGTAAGTTTTTATTTATATACCGCCTTTTCACTGCAGATCTGAGTCTCAAAGCGGTTTACAATTGTTAATTTTGGGCATTTGTCTCTCACTCCACACAGAGATGGGAGCGGGGTCGCCAGTACAGGAAGCGCATGCCAGAACTATTGTACATATTTTTTAGTGGTAGGGGAAACCAGAGCACCCGGAGGAAACCTACGCAGACACGGGGAGAACATGCAAACTCCACTCAGAAAGGCCCTGGTCCGACCGGGATTCGAACCCAGGACCTTCTTGCTGAGAGGCGAGAGTGCTATCCACTCAGCCACCGTGACCGTGATTATTATCATAATATTTCAACTTTTAAGTCAACATTTTATAACTTTATTCTCAGTCTGGTAAAAGAAGAAAAAAGGCCTGCTTTAGACCTGTTGCTGTTTCCTCTGCCGTCTGCACACGGCCCTGCATCCCCTTATATGGGCATTAGTGGGCGGTTACTTATGCTAAGTACCTATGCTAATGAAGCACCTGGCACGCGCGCTGTACTTACGAGGAAATGGGATTCATCAATCTGAGAGAACAGCTGCGAACAATTCAGCGGCTTACGAGTGCGTTGATGAATCCCACGTAGGGATTTCTTAGAAATCTACTTAAGGACACCTTGAGAAGAAAGTTGAGTAGTTTCTTACGAAGTTATTCGTGAATGAGGCCCATTGTATCTTGTGGTAGAAAAAGCTGACTATATAGAAAAAAGCACATTACCCATTTAAAATAACAACTTAAGGGTCCACTAATTATTTTTTGTCTACATTTTCAAAACAATGTAACCCATCAATGCTACATTGACATTGCAGTCCTAGTTCTGTTCAACTCTCCGCCGTTGAAACTAATGCGCCACCAGTGTCTTCAAAATTCTACAGCAAAAAATTAGACTGGTCCAATAAAAATACTCTTCTCTCAGCATCGATACACTTGTGAAACGTAGCTTTGGGCCAAGAGCTGACTTTTGGACCATCCTGTAAAACCAATTTTGAAAGGTAAGAAGATGCTATACATTAGCATTGGCCAATTCTTATTCCGGGTCCACCCCTGTTGGCCTGGGGTGGTATTGCAAGCATGTCAGCGCACGTCATTTTGGATATTTTTGAGCTGGGAGCTGTGAGACAAAAAGAAACATGAGCTCAGAGACAGAAGAGGGTCAAAAAACCAAGAACAACTCTACAAGTCTGCTCTCTTTTTCGGCCAATGGTGCATGCACTTTTCCAGGATTATAGACACATCCGACACTAAAGCATGAATAGAGCAAGATTCTGAACAAATTTACTTTCTGCCGCTTGTCTTCTGAGCTTGGCTTTCATCCCCAGACTGCTGAAAAATGCAGCAAAACAGCACACCTGGAACAGTTAACCTCTCGGCGCCTCGGGCAAACAGCAGATAAAAATGAATGAGAGAAAAACATTATGTCAGGAGTCTTGTGCTTTCTGCTCAGCACAGGAAGTCTGGAAGTGACACATGAAAGATGGAAGAACGCTGCTACTTAAAATGTCACCTCAAACGGTCTGACCATTTGAAAACCCGGCCAGAAACGAAGATAAAGCAACAGGGAGGCTGTATACTGCTGTGTCCTGTGATGCCTTTATCCAATCAAAGTGTTTTCCAGAAATACAGTTTTACTGAATGGCCATTTCCAGACGTCATAGTGCTTCACACTTTCAGCTGCCATGGAATACAATTGGACTCCACATTCAACATTTATGGACATTTGTCATCTGCCCCTTATGGACCAATACCAATGTGTTTTCTGTTTTATTTCTCATGTTTGAACTGTATGATTCTCTGATCTGTGTTGGCGAATTCAACAGTTTTGTGAAGTACTCCGAGATAACTACTGTTGTGATTTAGGGTTATACTAAAAGAAATTTAATTTAATTGATTCTAAAGCTGATCAAGCGACTCTAAACGCAAACAACAATTCTATTCAGATTCAATATTCATTGTTTATGTTTTACAGCAATGACAGTCATCCCAAAGTACATCTGAACCATACATGACAAAAAGGTTCACTGATTATAATTTGAGGCTGATCACAAAAAAAATGGTTTTGCTTTAATTCAGTATTAGACAAGGAAATATCTTTTTGTAAGTGTCCTTTTGGCAAGATTTTTTTCAATCAATTCCAAATTGATTTTACTCCCTTTCCTTCACTTTGTGCTTTAAGGCAAAAAAGTTTTCACTGTGAGTTACAGCATTTTTATGTGTACTCATCGGGTCTATAGGCGGGGTTAAGCAGAGCTGCTCTTTTGGAAGAATGGAGACGCATGGATGGAAGCCCACACATGGATCACAGTGTCATATAAGATACTGTAGAAGATAAGATATCTTGTTTTAGCAGAGAAATCTCTACTGTAAAAACACAAACCACACAGAGCTTGTGTGTGAAATCAGGAAAGACTCGTCCAAAAAGACTTAAAACATAAACTATTATGTTATGGCTATTAACAGAATTAGAATAAGAAAAAGAGATCCTTTATTCATCCCACAGTGGGGAAATTGACAGATCAGTAGGAATGAGGAGCACACAGCACAAGATAAGTGAACAATAGCTATACTAATTAAAATAAAACAAAATCTCTAACTCTAACATCAAAAGAACAAGTATAACATCTCTATCGTGAACAGAATAATACATGTCATAACCAGTGGAGATTGTTTAGAACACAGAGAAACCAAAGTCCAATACACTATGCATGTATTAGCACTGAAAGGAAATGTGTACTTTAGTAAATCAATATCCTCTAACAAAATATCCAATATCTGCACTTATATCCAATCTCAGTGTTGTATTGGTTTCTCCCGAGTTGTTCAAAAAACGTTGCAACATTTACTAATCATTAGATGAATTAGTCGCCAGTCCTGCAGGGTTTGTACTGACCTACCATTGTCTGTTAAACTCTATTGAAATAATATTGATACAGAAGAATCTAAAGAGTGGAATTAGTTTTGCACACTGTCTAACAATATGGTCTTATCCTCCGTCATCAGAGGAGTGGGAGACAAAGGCGTTTGCGAGGATCATAAAGAATGCAGTCGGCAGCAGCAGCACGAGGAGAGATCAGGCAGTCGTCTGATTGGAGGAGAAATATGGAGATATGGAAATGCATCAAAGGGTTCACATATGAGGCTCGCGGTGATAAACCATTCACGGCTTTGCATAGATTATCTGCATTAAAAGAAAAGGAACTTACACATAATGATAAAAAATAGCTGTTAAATATATCTATATTAAACTGACAATTGCAACAATGAGTTCCCAAGGCATGAAAAAGAAAAATTGTCTTTTTTGGTTATAATAAAGTTTGAGCAAAACCAGTCTGATAAAAAGACATTTCATCTTGCAGGTCTGAAAATAAAGTTTCTTCTGAAATCTTCTTGAAATAGCTATGAAGATTAAATACAGATGAGTTATTTAATTTTGATGACAAGATTTAAAAGCCAGAGAAGTTGGAGAAGAGAGAATCAGAGTCTGCCGATATGATACTTATTTTGATCCATATGAAGCAATATGTACTGGGACTTTTGACCCTTTACCTAACGCTCACAAAAACTTTAAAAAACATAAATACACAATGGATGAATTTATATGACCACTGGCCAAATCACAACAAATTTGGGACGAATTATCAGATTATTATTATTATTATGTTTATATGATAGGGACAGAACAAGAAGCATTGTTACAGGAACCGATGCTGTGTTCATAGGCCGTATAACTAACAGCTAGTTTGCAGACCTGGTCAGTAAGTCAATAGGTGTATGACTTACTTGAATGGTAAATCATTTTTGAATACCTGGACTATAATTCTTTGACACTCCAGCTATAATCATGAAATAGAATGACAAAAACAAATACATTATTCATGCATGCCTTTTAAATGTTTCCCAAAAATATGCAAACACTTTCTCTTATGCTCACCCACAGGGCATCAACACTCAAAAAAAAAAGTGCTGAAATTCATGCTCTCTTATCCAGCGCGAGACAAAAAACTGAGCATTTGCTTGTGGTTCTTAGGCTATAATGCTGAGGATTATTAAGCATTGCTGAATGTTATTTTACTTCTAAAGATCTCCAAGTCACTTGCTTGGCTAATGGCAACGAGTAATGAACTGAAAACTCCCACAACACACTGTGAAAGGACCGAGTGCCATTGTAACCAAATTTCCCCAAAAAAGCCATCTTCTTTGCTGCGATCATTTCAAAATATTTCCTTTCACAGTTTGAAAGCAAATCATCAATCATACCCTCCTCTGCAGGCAATGGTTTTGCACGTTGATCTGAATAACCAGATTTGAGACGCAGACCAAAGATCAGTCACATTGTAATAAGGCCACAGCTTTACCTTTTCAGTTATTCCAAAACTCAGCAGGGCCTTGTACCCCGCTTTTGGAACCACAATACACTTTAAAGAGGACATAACCCATTTGTGTTTTCTACATTTAATAAGGGGATCATAGCTTATCATAGCATGTAGTTCATATAAAATGTTTTGATTAAGATAAAACAATCGTATACAAGAAGCCATTTGCAAAGCTACTACTTAAGTCCCCTTGTGCCCCTTAGCCCTGACCCTTTCTCGGAACATCAGGGAAACGTCAAATTAATGGCTCTGCTCTTTTGCAGGCAATGGTGAGATGTAATTATATTTTTTTTCTTTCATATCACAGATTCATAAAAAGAAAGTTGCCAGAGATATTAAAGGCACACCGCGGACTTTGTGACCTAAAGAGTTGACACATATGAGTTATTTTATATGAATACTTGGGCCAATATACAGCGCTTGACACTTGCAATGCTCCGAGCGGGGCTGCCCTCTTGAAATACCGCCCATGTAAGTTTCGAGCAGACGGACCGTCTGCCACCAGGTCACGTGACTTGGAAGAAAGACTTGCTTTACGGCTACAGGCGCTGATATACTCATGGAGCTAAGGCTTTTGCTACTCATTTTTCACCTGCTCGACTCCTGGTCATGGCTGAGGCAAGGCAAAATTTTAAACCTTCGGAGGAGGCTAAAAAGAGAAAACGCGAAAGGGATCGTGCTGTAAGCTGCATGTCTGTATGAGCGCTGCTCTTCACCTGGTTCCTGGATGTCATCGACTGCAAAGATGTCATTCCACGCAGCACGAGCTAGACGCAGAACTCCCTCATCCAGGATATAGAAGTCCATGTGTGGTAGATTGCTAATGCAGCGGTCTGGAGGCTGACCACAGCAGAGTCTCTCAATATCTGTAGGCATGTCTCTACAGTTTGAACACACACACCAGTGCATGCTGTCTGAATACACACTCAAAAGACACCGGCTGACTGTTTGTTGACTTTTGCGACAGTGCTGAGTTGCTTGTGGCCACTAGGGGCGCTAAACGTGAAAGTTGCAGGTCTAGCGCCCCTAGTGGCCAAGAGTTACACGGTGTGCCTTTAAGTAAAATGCAGGAGAGGTGCTACGTGTCAACAGAGAACTGAGGAGAGAGCAATAGTGGCTGGCATGTACAAAGAGGACAAACATTCAAAAATTGCTCTATAAACAACTTTGGGTTGTAAATGACACAGGAAAACAACTATAACATAAAAGTACTTAATTAATCCCCCTAGGAAACTTTGTCTTCTGCATTTGACCCATTTTGTAATTCCACTAGGTCAGGACTTATGTCAGTTGAGAAAGTTGAGAAAAGTCAATTTTTAGTCCTCTAACATCACCCAATCGTCAACACAAACTCAAAAAAGGGTCTATTGTGAGAGCATGTTTTCAAACAAGGAGGTATAAATGTAAGTCCACACCAGCAAATGAGACAATGCATTGACTATTTTGCCAATACAGTGAACCAGAATGATTTCCATGGATTTGCTGAACACACATAATAGTTAACATGAGTAAATATACTGTAGATACTGAAGCCTGCGCATACTCAAAGCTACAAAATAAAAATGCTGCCATTTGTACAAATATACTAAGAACAGTCTCCCATGCAAACTAAAAAGCAACGCCTCAGTATAAGATCTGCACAAGCACAGATAGGGCAACTGTAAGCAAGGGGGGCTTTGAACTTCCCAATACCATTTTTTTTCATGTATGTACTTTCACAGCTTGCCACATGTGATGAGAATTACCAGTGACAAGCAACTCTTTGACTTACAGAATCTTAAAGATGCAGACATTGGGGACAGATCGACCCAAAGCCATACTAGTCTCTTGATTGCCCACCCGAGAACGTGCAGAAAACTGCGAACCATTTACGCAGCTTGGAGGATTAGGTTTCTCAAGGGGGGAGCGAGTGAAGTGATGCTCTCTTAGCCTCAATAACTCGG